AACTTCAGTGTAAATATAATTTAATGCTTGTTTGTTTTTCATACAATAAAAAAAAAAAGAAATCAAATATATCATTATAACAGTATTGTGTATGTATATATAAATCCATGGATCGCTATATGACCTGATGGGTGTCGAAAAAAATTAAGTATTTCCTGAAATAATGGTAAAACCTATGTAAATCTGTCACGCAGCTGTTACATACTTTTATTAAAGTCGCACGTATGATTAAACACACAGCTTAGCCAAGTTTGTTTTATCATAGAAGTGCATATACATTGTATATTGCTACACATACATCCCTCTCCATTCATACATTTTACTGTAAACGTGAACATTTTCGCAATTTCTATGGGTAAATTATACGCATGGGGTTTATTTTCACGATCAATTTTCATTTTATTTCGTCTATAAAATTTAAAATATATCGCACGGGGAAAATTTCCTCTCGCGTAAATTTCCACGTTTACAGTACTAAAAAACTACTAACATGGGAAATGAATTTTTCTGAAATCCTTTAACACTAAAGGCCTGAGGTGTTTGCAGCGTTATATCAATCAAGAAAACACAATAGTAATTTTCACTGTGAATAATTCTTTTCATTTTATTTGGTAGGTAAGATATTTAACTCTAGGTACTTTCCTGAAATTTGGTCAGTATGGCGTTGAATTAAAGGACGTTTCATTACATATGGCTTCTAAGATAATCATCTCTATGAGCTATCATTTCATTTATCATTCATGTCATTCTATCTACATTAAAAAAAACGACGATAAGATTAATAGAATTGGTTGTGTTGTTATATACCGTACATTTTTTTTGCGAGTTTTTTTTTTTAATGATCAAATTATATTTAAACAAATTAAAACATCGATCATTTGATTTTAAAATGCATCTTATACACACGTGTCTCATTAATTAACAGAATCTTTTTGCGATCGCTTTCATATACAGCAAAAACGTGAAAATATCATCTCCGCGAAAATAACCAGCTAAAAACACAAAAAAAACGGACCTCAAAAGTGAGTCTACCATGAAAATAAGCGTATAGTTTCTTACATAAATAAACACGCATTTACTTACCATTAAAAAAAAGCCAAGCTTCCTCCCGAGTTTTTAGGATATAATTTACATGTTTACTGATCTCTTCCCTAAGGAAATCATTGAATTAGTAAGAAACATAAGTATCCTATTACAGTATATCTGTAAACAGACATTTCTCACTTGTGATTAAGGTATTACACTACCGGTAGGTACCATTACTTTGGAAATATGAGACCAAGTATGATCCAAACAAATCTAAAGATTAAGCACAATATATTAGTAGGATTTTATTGACATTTTCAATTTTAATTCACTGCAATAAAAATTACACTTTTTAGACAACAACAAAATATTTACAAAGATCATCTTATACAATTGACAATAAAAATCATGATATGAAAATACATAAAATTGAAATATTATAAACAGAAAACATCACTAAAAGTTACAGTAAGGTGTATCTCACATCTCATATATTCCTTCTGATTGATATCAATCGATGGGTTAAGGGATTCGCGAGATACCTTGTAGATAAACCGCTTATTTTCAAAGCTGTTAAGAGTGACTTATAACCTTGATTCATGACCACCAAACTTTCAGTAACTGACCTTCGATGGGGTGATAAGTTGGTATGATTATGAATCAAATCTGTTCATGGGTTCATGGTCAACGCAAACACACTGGTGTACGGACGCAAGCACAGAGTTTTCTACGTACCCCCTTCCCTAAGTGAGGAATATGAAAGAAATTTCACGAATGTGGCTAATATTCCTCTCATGAGTGCACAGCCTTAGCGATGATAACATATAAGTGCTATGAGTGAATCATATACCCTCTTTCTAATATTTCAGAAATAATTGTATCCTTTTTTTTTTCTTTTTACTTTTTTCACAAATATCCTTATGTAGCTGCCAGGGTCTCTGAGTTTCTGGTTCCAGCCCCCCTTGGCAGAAATCTCCTCTTATATGAGGAATTAATTGAAGATATTTTTCTATTCTTTTTTTGTTTTGTTTTGTTTTTGTTTTTGTTTTTTTTCATTATTTTGTGTTCAATGCTGCAGAAATTTTGTTTATTTGCTTTAGTTTGTATTTAAAGCTGAAAAGATTTTGTTGTTTTAGTGTTTGGTTGTATTTAATGCTGCAGATATTTTGTTGTTTAAGTGTTTGGTTGTATTTAATGCTGCAGATATTTTGTTGTTTTAGCGTTTGTTTGTATTTAATGCTGCAGATATTTTGTTGTTTAAGTGTTTGTTTGTATTTAATGCTGCAGATATTTTGTTGTTTTAGCGTTTGTTTGTATTTAATGCTGCAGATATTTTGTTGTTTAAGTGTTTGTTTGTATTTAATGCTGCAGATATTTTGTTGTTTAAGTGTTAGTTTGTATTTAATGCTGCAGATATTTTGTTGTTTAAGTGTTTGGTTGTATTTAATGCTGCAGATATTTTGTTGTTTAAGTGTTTGGTTGTATTTAATGCTGCAGATATTTTGTTGTTTAATGCTGCAGATATTTTGTTTAAGTGTTGGTTGTATTTAATGCTGCAGATATTTTGTTGTTTATGTTAGTGTATTTAATGCTGCAGATATTTTGTTGTTTAAGTGTTTGGTTGTATTTAATGCTGCAGATATTTTGTTGTTTAAGTGTTTGGTTGTATTTAATGCTGCAGATATTTTGTTGTTTAAGTGTTTGGTTGTATTTAATGCTGCAGATATTTTGTTGTTTAAGTGTTTGGTTGTATTTAATGCTGCAGATATTTTGTTGTTTAAGTGTTTGGTTGTATTTAATGCTGCAGATATTTTGTTGTTTAAGTGTTTGGTTGTATTTAATGCTGCAGATATTTTGTTGTTTTAGTGTTTGGTTGTATTTAATGCTGCAGATATTTTGTTGTTTTAGTGTTTGGTTGTATTTAATGCTGCAGATATTTTGTTGTTTTAGCGTTTGTTTGTATTTAATGCTGCAGATATTTTGTTGTTTTAGCGTTTGTTTGTATTTAAAGCTGAAAAGATTTTGTTGTTTTAGTGTTTGGTTGTATTTAATGCTGCAGATATTTTGTTGTTTTAGTGTTTGGTTGTATTTAATGCTGCAGATATTTTGTTGTTTAAGCGTTTGGTTGTATTTAATGCTGCAGATATTTTGTTGTTTAAGTGTTTGGTTGTATTTAATGCTGCAGATATTTTGTTGTTTAAGTGTTAGTTTGTATTTAATGCTGCAGATATTTTGTTGTTTTAGCGTTTGTTTGTATTTAATGCTGCAGATATTTTGTTGTTTTAGCGTTTGTTTGTATTTAATGCTGCAGATATTTTGTTGTTTAAGTGTTTGGTTGTATTTAATGCTGCAGATATTTTGTTGTTTTAGCGTTTGTTTGTATTTAATGCTGCAGATATTTTGTTGTTTAAGTGTTTGGTTGTATTTAATGCTGCAGATATTTTGTTGTTTTAGCGTTTGTTTGTATTTAATGCTGCAGATATTTTGTTGTTTTAGCGTTTGTTTGTATTTAATGCTGCAGATATTTTGTTGTTTTAGCGTTTGGTTGTATTTAATGCTGCAGATATTTTGTTGTTTAAGCGTTTGTTTGTATTTAATGCTGCAGATATTTTGTTGTTTTAGCGTTTGTTTGTATTTAATGCTGCAGATATTTTGTTGTTTTAGCGTTTGTTTGTATTTAATGCTGCAGATATTTTGTTGTTTTAGCGTTTGTTTGTATTTAATGCTGCAGATATTTTGTTGTTTTAGCGTTTGTTTGTATTTAATGCTGCAGATATTTTGTTGTTTTAGCGTTTGTTTGTATTTAATGCTGCAGATATTTTGTTGTTTTAGCGTTTGGTTGTATTTAATGCTGCAGATATTTTGTTGTTTAAGCGTTTGTTTGTATTTAATGCTGCAGATATTTTGTTGTTTTAGCGTTTGTTTGTATTTAATGCTGCAGATATTTTGTTGTTTTAGCGTTTGTTTGTATTTAATGCTGCAGATATTTTGTTGTTTAAGTGTTTGGTTGTATTTAATGCTGCAGATATTTTGTTGTTTTAGCGTTTGTTTGTATTTAATGCTGCAGATATTTTGTTGTTTAAGTGTTTGGTTGTATTTAATGCTGCAGATATTTTGTTGTTTAAGTGTTAGTTTGTATTTAATGCTGCAGATATTTTGTTGTTTTAGCGTTTGTTTGTATTTAATGCTGCAGATATTTTGTTGTTTTAGCGTTTGTTTGTATTTAATGCTGCAGATATTTTGTTGTTTTAGCGTTTGTTTGTATTTAATGCTGCAGATATTTTGTTGTTTTAGCGTTTGGTTGTATTTAATGCTGCAGATATTTTGTTGTTTAAGTGTTAGTTTGTATTTAATGCTGCAGATATTTTGTTGTTTTAGCGTTTGTTTGTATTTAATGCTGCAGATATTTTGTTGTTTTAGCGTTTGTTTGTATTTAATGCTGCAGATATTTTGTTGTTTTAGCGTTTGTTTGTATTTAATGCTGCAGATATTTTGTTGTTTTAGCGTTTGTTTGTATTTAATGCTGCAGATATTTTGTTGTTTAAGTGTTTGGTTGTATTTAATGCTGCAGATATTTTGTTGTTTAAGTGTTAGTTTGTATTTAATGCTGCAGATATTTTGTTGTTTTAGCGTTTGTTTGTATTTAATGCTGCAGATATTTTGTTGTTTAAGTGTTGGTTTGTATTTAATGCTGCAGATATTTTGTTGTTTTAGCGTTTGTTTGTATTTAATGCTGCAGATATTTTCTTTGTTTTTCGTTTGCTTGCTTTAATGCCGAAGAGATTTTTTAAAATCTAGTATCTATGAATTATGAAAAAAATAAGAAATAGCAAAAACCTCACCATGAATTAGTGCCGGTTCCTTACTGAGAGGCATCCATGATACAAATGTATTGAAACTGTCACAAATAATATGGTTCTATCTCTATCTCCGTGATACATTGACACATACAACACATCCACATTACAACAGAGTCATAAAAGTGATCGGTTGAGTTTTTTCCAGAATTGACGGTCACTGAGTGACAAATATGTATGTGTCTGTATGTAATGCTGCATATCGTTTTCCAGAGACACAAGATCCACACTCTCCTTGACCACGACTATCAAATGGCCGGTCTTTTCCATTAGCGTCTGCTGGAAAGCCTTGCGAAATTCCAATAAACACCATTCACTTCTCAGGAAGTTTGGCGACAGCACCAAAATGGTGTGTCTACTTTGATCGATGCTGTTTAGGATGTTTTCGGATATACACGCGCCCGGTACAAAATCCTTGTGATGAAGGCAGACATTGAATTCATTTGATTCCAAGAATACGTATAGTTGCTCCATTACCCATGTCTCGTCCAGTGAGCTGTAGGAGATGAATGCATCGTATATCTTGTTGTCTATACTCTTGACAGGCGATCGGTATGACACTGTTTCTACGGATACAAGCTTGCATCGTTTTCTGTACCAAACTAATGCAACTATGACCAAAGCCTGCCCGATCACCAGTCCGCATATCACTGTGATATACTTCATTAATGACCTCTGTTCAAGGACGATATTGCCCGATTCGCGACCACATACAGCGTTGTCTGTAAGATCTAGAAGCGCTACTCCGCTCAGATTAACCGGATAGGCACATTCTATACTGCCTCCAATTTCTTCATATGTAGATTTCGACTGATGATCAACATACGCTGACGTTTTGAGAAACGATACAACATTGGACACACTACAGTTACATACCAAAGGATTGTCGGCAAGTGTCACAGAATTGGGCCAAAAATTACAGAGGTCTTTTATATCATCCAGGGTAACGGATGTTATAGCATTGTCACTCAGATTGACGGATAATATGGGATTGGTCCCATTTGGTTGTTTGTTTCTAAACGGAAGTGACATGATCTGGTTACGAGATAAATCTATTTTCTCCAGAGCGCCAAATTGAGTCCACCACTTACCAGCAAACAGATGGTGCGGAACTTTCTTCAAATTGTTACTTGTCAAAATGAGAACCTTCAGTTTCGGAAACAATGACCGCGAGTGCGGTTTAGGAAAAAACAAATTGATATACACATCATTTTTGTCTTCGAAGAAAACATTTCCAGAGAGTTCTAGATATTCTAACACTGGGCAGCGACAGTTTCTTTTTCGGTATTCTGTCAGAGCATCTTGATAATCCTGTGAAAGTATAGTGTCGTATCTTTCATAACAGGATAAGTTATGTTCACGGTAGTACACGAGTTGAGGATTGATGAAACACTCTGCTGTATGATCCCTTTTGATCTCCTCCATAATTTCACGAAGTGATACAATCAACACACAGTTTTCCAAATCCAAGATTTTAAGGTCGTTCTGTTTGATGACCATGTCTGGATTCATAACATTATATGAATGAATAAGACATCCGAGTATAGATACTGACCGCAGCAGTCTGGCTTCGTGAGGTCTCTTCATTGATACACTGCCATCCTGAGTACAAAATATGGTCAGGTCAATATTAAAACCATTGTGTTTTTCAGCAAATGAGTTTGTATGTTCCTGAAACGAGGTCCAATTCCACGGTCCCCCATCTCCATTAACATAGCAAGTAATGCTCAAGGTTTGACCAGTTGAATTGGTATCTGCACCCAAGAATTCTCGTGAATGATTCATTGCTATCGTCTTCGAATGTTGTGCTGTACTCTGCGTCTCAGCTTCTTTATTAAGCGAGCAGTTACCTGGTACACCAGTCATCAATTCATAGGCGATATTTGTCAAGTTGTTGCGTATATCTGTTGCATGACAGCCCACTGATACAAGGGACACGAAAAACAAGCACCGTGAAAGCATCATCTTTACAGTTGTATCGTGGTGCGACCATATTATGAAATGTCTGTACTATCACAACAATATATATTGTCGGTTGAAGAAAAAAAATGCATTTAAAGTCTGTTCATGCAATGTTATTAACAATTTGAATGAAAACGTATCATTTTTATTGATCTGTATAGCACACAAAGAGGAACGATAGTCAATTATGCATTAGATAGGATACAGAGAAACAATACCCGTCACCACACGTTAACATGTAAACATATGCTAGTCTGATAATGGAAAAAGGTCTTAAGTAAAAAATCCTCTCTGTTTGCCCATTGATTTCCTTTTCAACAAAGTAAATGCACGAAGCACGGATTTGAATGTAGATATGTTGAGTATGATTTAATGAGGACTAATTGACAAAAAAGCGAACAAACTTATCAGTCGCGTCGACAAGCTGATATCAACAGAAAGCAGCACGGATGGGCAGGTAGACGGGTAGGCAAGTGGCGTAGTGATAACACACTCACCTAGCTGTCCGGGATTCGATTCCCAGAATGGACTCGAAAAGACATGGGGTCACCTGCCCAACCACATAGATTTTCCCCAGGTACTCTGGTTTCCTCCCAAAACAAGACCCATCGCGCGCTTCCATCGGGGCCAACAAGAGTGATTGGTCTAAGTTGGAAAAACTTGCTTCGCGATTGTTTTAAAATAAAAGATTATTTATGAAGCAGCATGATGTTTAAAAGTACATTTTGTATCCAATTCTATATTTCCACTTTGATTTCTAATAACGATTATCTTCCTTTTTTTGTAAAGTTTGATAGGGATTGGTGGATTGCTGCCCGTGGAGGTAATACAGCAGAGAACCGTTCATCAATGTACATATATATACCAGGGAAGGTAACATCCCGAACTCAACCTGCTGTCGTTCTTGTTCTGATTGGAAAAACAATAAACAATTATGAACAATAGAGTGACAAAGTGACATATGCTCTTGAATATAATCCAAGTTCACGGAACCTCAGAAAAGATAGATTCTAACAAGATTTGCGGAACAGTCCAACAAGCGAATACAAAGATGACAGATGGATGACGAATATGAGGTCACGGACCCAAAAACATCAGATTGGGTCAAAAAATTGGATCACACTTTGCAACTAACTGGAATATAGAAGACAGACTTATCGTTGGCCAACGGAAATTGATGAAGGTAATTGTAAGTAAATTAATTGGTAATAACTGTCGATGTGTAAAATGATTACTTAAACGCTCATTCGTAATTCAGGTAAACGTTTCGAAGGGCAACCAGCACACAGGAAGATTTTAAGACACGCTTGACATAAGTACATAATTATGTATACATTGTCAAATTGGTGATTTTATATGGTTATGACAGGTTTCAAAGCCACATTTCTCTTTCTCACCGATTGTTTGATTCATTGTAAAGCTCTGGATATCTACCAACTACCAAGGTAAGCACATGTATTACCTACAATGGAAAGAACATTTATCACCTACAAAGCAAATGGCATTTACTACCTACCAAGCTTTATGCATTTTCAGTCACCGTAGCAAAGACGTTCTCCAATTACCAAGCTCAGGACATTTACCGCCTATGTGGCTATCAATTCTATCTATCAAGGCATGAACATTTATCACCTACCGAAACTCGGGACATTTACTTTATTTGCAGTCTACAAAGCTAAGGACATTTCTTATCTACCAAGGCGGTAAAATTTGATGCCTACAACGCTAAAGACATTAATGTTTCGTCCTGTCGTTCGTTTGGTACGTAATGCTTTTTTTGCAGCCCACAGTAAACTTCTGCTGTTCGACCGGGGTTGGGTGAGCTTCGTGTGGAAGTTGTCCGTTGGAAACTAATTGCTAATTATGTGCGTGATTTACAATCCACAGTTCCCTCAGTTTTCCGATGTGATGCGGCTGCACTCGTACCTGCATGATGCCCAGTTGTGCCTGCATGATGCCCAGTTGTACCTTCATGATGCCCAGTTGTGCCTTCATGATGCCCAGTTGTGCCTACATGATGACATATTTAATCTTAATGCCAGCCATGTTAGCCATCCTCTCTATTCAAAACCAGACTGACTATTGAAGCTATTGTTGAAGGGGTCTATTGATATGTAAGAGAGGTCATTATTTATTTCAATGCCTCCATTAGGATTCGAACCAAGGACCTCTGACGTACTACTCTGACGCTAAAACAATCTAGCTAAAGAGATTTTCTCTGTATCTGAGCTGTGTATTGCGGCTAGTATTTATCAAGGTTACATATACAGCAGGTACCATCTAGAATGCAAACAACTTGGCCACAGATTACAGCGAACAAGGCAATAACTGGCCCACAACACACCCTCACTTGCAGAAATGGCAGGCCATACAATGGGTTGCAGTATCAACATCGTTTCTTCTGAGCTAATCCCCAATGTTATGCCCGCAGCTGATAAGCAGTGCCACCACATAACAAATCCACATCTAACCTAGTTTCTTCAAGTGGGTTAACTGCCTGCGTTTTTTGGGCGGTATGGGCCTCCTGCTGGTGTTCTGCAAGGACTTCTGTTGAAATGTTCAGTCAACATACCCGAAACAAGTTTTAAGCATGATCATAAATTGGCCAGGGCTATCGTGGACTTCCATGCACACCTGAAGGTAAGTTTAAACGAGATCTGTAAGAGATACTGACAAGTACTAGGCATACGCAGGAACATTTACTGCCTACAAAGCTAAGGACATTTACTACCGACTAAGCAGGGAGCTTCTACGACCTAAACTCAAAGACATTTACTGCCTACAAAGCTAAGGACATTTACTACAGACTATGGCAGGAACATTTATGGCAGGAACATTTACTGACTACAAAGCTAAGGACATTTACTACAGACTATGGCAGGAACATTTACTGACTACAAAGCTAAGGACATTTACTACCGACTAAGCAGGGAACTTCTACGGCCAAAAACGCTAAGGACGTTTCCTGCCTACAAAGCTAAGGACATTTACTACTGACTATGGCAGCAACATTTCCTGCCTACAAAGCTAAGGACATTTACTACTGACTATGGCAGCAACATTTCCTGCCTACAAAGCTAAGGACATTTACTACTGACTATGGCAGCAACATTTCCTGCCTACAAAGCTTAAGACATTTACTTCAAACCAAGGCAGGAACATCAACTACCGACTAAGGCAGGAACATTGGATGCATGTAAAACATTTTCCAATGTAGTAGATAAACATATGCCTATGCTTCAAAGGAAAAAAAAGACAGTCAAAACCAGAATGGTTAGATAATGATATTTTAGAAAACATGCAGTTGAGAGACAAATTGTAGCGTGAGGTGAATTTGACAGAATATAGAATACAGCATTACTATGTTGCTTAGGGAGACAAAAGCCATGTACTGTAAAAATGTTATTGAAAACAATCTGGATAACCCTCTAGAAATGTATTGTGACCTTGTACGTAAAAAATTACCTTCCACATCTACGACGGTTCAGATTGAAAATGAAAATATATATGATAAGAATGAAATAGCCAATCAATTCAAGACATACAAATAGTACAATTGAAAAATTTTGTAAATACCAAACAAGTTGGGGATTGTACTTTTTCTATTCCAACTATCACTTGATTTCATTGACAAATCTTTGCAATCTTTAGATACAAGGAAAGCTATAGGTTTGGATGGTCTCAGTGCAAAGCTACTAAAACTTCCAGGTGCCCATATAGCACCTTCATTATCATATATAATGAATCTTAATTATCAAAATGGTTGTTTTCCTATACAATGGAAAACTGCAAAGGTAATTCCTTTGTACAAGCCTGGAAGCACCTTCAAGAAGAAATGAGAACTGAAACATCTTTTTCTATATTCAAACAGAAACTAGAGTGCAATTTAAACTCTTAATGAACTATATTTTTAGATTTTCTTTCCAATATCAGTAATGTTTTACTCTATGCTATACTAGGGTATAACCATGTCAACTTTTACACTTTATACTAGGGTATAACCATGTCAACTTTTACACTTTATACTAGGGTATAACCATGTCAACTTTTACACTTTATACTAGGGTATAACCATGTCAACTTTTACACATTATACTAGGGTATAACCATGTCAACTTTTACACTTTATACTAGGGTATAACTATGTCAACTTTTACACTTTATACTAGGGTATAACTATGTCAACTTTTACACTTTATACTAGGGTATAACTATGTCAACTTTCACACTTTACTATATTAGTATGTATGTATATTAGACAAACTTGTCCTTTAATGATAAAAATCTTTGCATGAACTTTTGTGCATTCTGTGATATTCTTATTTATGTATCTGTGATAAAGGTATGAAAATCTTATGATTATGTTGTGAACAACAATGTATTTTAACATATAACGTTTTTTCTAACAAGAGGATCCTGTGAAGATTAGCCTCAGCTAAACAGGTTCTTAAACCCTCATGAAATAAAGTCTATTATTTTCATTATTATCATAATTTAAGGACATTTACTGCCAACCAAGGCAGGAACCTTTATTGCCTACAATGCTAAGAACATTTACTACAGTCAAAAACAGGAACATTTACAGCCTACAAAGTTCAGGTCATTTACTACCTACAAAGCCCTACCAAGCCCAAGACATTTTTCACCTAGTAAGGGAATGACACAAGTTTACAAGTTTGTCCACATATTTGATGGAGTTAAAAAATAATCTAAACAAAAGTTCTTTTGAAATATCATCATTTTATTAACTTTATTTGTGGAATATCACAGTTATAAGCTGCAGTTTCATAGGGTAAACTTCAGTGTTAAACAATGTATATGTATACAAATATGAATTATGCTTTGATAAATGTTAGAACTAACACATTCATTAGCAAAAGCACCACCTACTGTACATAAAAATATGAAATTGTTCAAATCACTGTGAAAATTAATTTATTTGTGCTAAAAAGCTGAAAAAGTAACTAACATTACATAATCGGGTATTTTCTTGTGTAAGATAATGTATTTTTAATGTATTGACAATGATAGACAGAATATATTGTAACATCACAGAAAAAACTGCACACAACTGTCACTTTGACTAGACCCCAGATAACACTGAAATGTAACAGTTTAATGCAGATTTATCACAAAAACATAATGTTATTAAACAAACAATGGCTTCAATGGTATTTACAGTAGACCTGAGATTTCCTTCCTCCTATCAACATTACTGTCTATGTACACACAGTAAGCTGTGTTTGAAGTCATGAATACATGTCCATCAGCATGTGTTCACGATCAGCATGGCTGGTATCCATGTCAGCATATCCTTCTAGGAAGAGGAATGTGGCTCGGAGATTTATATGTATGGGTCATACACTGGTACACCAGATACATCACACATATTTATGTACACAATAACAGAGTATGCTACCAAACCAATTCCTGCAGCCTGTTTCTCTGCAATATCGTTCTGAAGGTCGACCAGGCATTCTGTCACGCTAAAATGACCTTTAGCTGATGGACAATATACACCAACTGTTGAAAGAACAGAAACAACATTCAAAACCAAAACTGAACAATGCCTTATCGGTCACCTGAGGACTCAAAGTCTTTGGACAGTTTTAGAACCTGTCCATCAGTCCCAGCTTTGGGGCAGACAGAACTGATATATGCATACTTACAAAGGTTTTTTTGTTTCTAAGTTTGAAGGATTAATTTTCAATTAAAAAGAACTGATAACACTGTCTGTTGTTGCAGTTAAGCATATTTTACCCCTGTGACCTTAAATGAAGGTCAAGGTCATTCATTTGAATAAATTTATTAGCCCTTCATCCCAGCATACTACTGCCCCAATACCATGACTCTGGGCCTTTTGGCAATTGAGAAGAAGTCGAAAAATGTTAGTTGTTTACAACACATGATGGACAAGCCTGGTCAAAAAACAAAAAAATCTAGTTCCCTGTGAGTAATGTTTACACACTTATGTGGCTGTTTTCATTTCTTTTTTTATTGTTTTATGGCTTGTAAACAACAAAAATAACTTCAGGCACAAATATTGGCTTTGATGTTCAAAACCTATCATTTTAAGCAAGCTTTCTAAATCTCAATTCATAACACTGGCGAGTAAATGCCAGGAAATAAAATGTCCTGGTTTTTGGTTAAGGGAAGTTTTTAGGGACTTTTTGACAGAATACATGTACCCACCTTTCTTATCCTGTGCTGAAAGTTTGCTCAGAGACAGATCTGCACAATCTGACAGTGGTCCAAGCCATGGGATGTCTGTTATCAGTTCCCACCTCGACCCATTATCATTTTTTCCTGAAAAGTCAATGGACAGTCAGTCTGACATAAATGCCCTGTCAAACACAAATACCATAACTTGACAATTTCTAGTAAAGTAACTTGACTTTAGTACTCTGAAATCACCCCTAATATTGTCTTTCGGAAGTCCATCATTGGCTTTAAAGGATAATGTTGATTCAGAAAGGAATGATGGGACACAACAATTTACAAGCGTAACTTTTGAATTTAAAGGGAATAAAAACAATGAGGAGCATCACAAAACACAGACTGATTGTGCACAGGTACAGGGCCTTTGGAGTAGTTGTGGAGAGGAAAAGAAGTCTGTGGGTGATTGTAAAGGTGGACACTTACCTGCCATGGTGTAGACGCTGCTGTCCAGTGGGTTCTTGGAGGATATTGTACAATCCCTCTGTCTAAAATTATAGGACTGCAGCAACTCTCTGAAATAATTGTTACAATCCTGTATACATTTACACCCTGAAATAAATCAATTACTTGCTGTCCATTCAACATCAGATTAAATATACAATATTACTCTTTGGATGTGTAATAGGTTTGTATGTACATTAACCAAACTGCAATGATAGCCCAAAATATTCTACCAATAAAAATGAAGGCACCCATATGAAATCCTAAATACTAAGGAAGTCTCTCTACAAGTATGCAAGCTAAAAGAAAATATGTATTTTATAAACATCCTAAATAAACTTTGTTTGACAAATGATATTTGTTACCGCTCTATGTTGTACTATCCTTATGTTATACAAAAGACCAGCAACAACCGTTCTCAAGTACAAATGTTGAGTATTAACACAGTTACAACAATGATAACATGTATGGCCTGAGTATCGAGCTTAACAAATTACTCATTCCACGGCCACACAAGGACTGACTCTATTTGCTGTGATCTTACAGTTTATCCTAAAGTAATTATAATCTAATTCTGATAGGGAAAGTGTCTTCTACTGATCTACAATTAAACCGTGAACAGTTAATGCCTCAATGGTGGAGAGCATGTCCAGCCAATGTTTCACGGCATGATTCTGACACTAAGGTGACGGCAATTAAAATATCTGTCTGATAAGCCAGCCGGTCACATTAAGATTTAACACAAATTATGTTCTACACTTGAGTGACAAATTTCTCTATTAACATTATTGAATTTCAAAATTCACTTAAATTGCTCTTCATAGTTACAAATTTTCAAGAGAAAAAGTTGTAATGTCAAGTTACGCATTTCTCACAAAAATACAATAGATGGGGTGTAAATCTAAAAAAAATTAATTTCATGAACCCGAAAAAGATTACTCCCAAGTAACGCATAACTATTTTTAGAAGTAGATTTACTATATAATGAAGAAAAGAAAAGAAGCAAAATTATGAAGCTGCCCAAATGAAGACATTGTATCTTCTGAGTCATTACAAGAAATATATTAAAAAATAATATGTCCAAAAAACTTAGATTTTGACATACATACAGGTTTATACCAATGAAGAGGTTTGGCCAGGAAGCAACTCTCGTTCTGTTGTACATCGAGTCTTGGGCCGATGGATTATAGTCATACACCACACACAGTCCATAGTCCACCTCACTTCCTCCAAATAATCGTTTCTCAAGACTAGCTCTGTCAAACTGAAATTAGACATTTGTCACCTGGGAACACCTGTTACTATATGTGGGAGGTAAACATTTGTCACTATTGCTACATCTGATGTTATGGGAACACCTGTTACTATATATGGGAGGTAAACATTTGTCACTATTGCTACATCTGATGTTATGGGATCACATGTTACTATATGTCGGAGGTAAACATTTGTCACTATTGCTACATCTGATGTTATGGGAACACATGTTACAATATGTGGGAGGTAAACATTTGTCACTATTGCTACATCTGATGTTATGGGAACACCTGTTACTATATGTGGGAGGTAAACATTTGTCACTATTGCTACATCTGATGTTATGGGAACACCTGTTACTATATGTGGGAGGTAAACATTTGTCACTATTGCTACATCTGATGTTATGGGAACACCTGTTACTATATATGGGAGGTAAACATTTGTCACTATTGCTACATCTGATGTTATGGGAACACCTGTTACTATATGTGGGAGGTAAACATTTGTCACTATTGCTACATCTGATGTTTGGGAACACCTGTTACTATATGTGGGAGGTAAACATTTGTCACTATTGCTACATCTGATGTTATGGGAACACATGTTACTATATGTGGGAGGTAAACATTTGTCACTATTGCTACATCTGATGTTATGGGAACACCTGTTACTATATGTGGGAGGTAAACATTTGTCACTATTGCTACATCTGATGTTATGGGAACACCTGTTACTATATATGGGAGAAATAATGCTAGGTACCCATTTGTCATTATTGCTACATCTGATGTTATGGGAACACCTGTTACTATATATGGGAGAAATGATGCTAGGTACCCATTTGTCACTATTGCTACATCTAATGTTATGGGAACACCTGTTACCATATACGGGAGAAATGATGCTAGGTAAACATTTGTCACTATTGCTACATCTATGTTATGGGAACACCTGTTACTATATGTGGGAGGTAAACATTTGTCACTATTGCTACATCTGATGTTATGGGAACACCTGTTACTTTATGTGGGAGGTAAACATTTGTCACTATTCCTACATCTGATGTTATGGGAACACATGTTACTATATGTCGGAAGTAAACATTTGTCACTATTGCTACATCTGATGTTATGGGAACACATGTTACTATATGTGGGAGGTAAACATTTGTCACTATTGCTACATCTGATGTTATGGGAACACATGTTACTATATGTGGGAGGTAAACATTTGTCACTATTGCTACATCTGATGTTATGGGAACACCTGTTACTATATGTGGGAGGTAAACATTTGTCACTATTGCTACATCTGATGTTATGGGAACACCTGTTACTATATGTGGGAGGTAAACATTTGTCACTATTGCTACATCTGATGTTTGGGAACACCTGTTACTATATGTGGGAGGTAAACATTTGTCAGTATTGCTACATCTGATGTTATGGGAACACATGTTACTATATGTGGGAGGTAAACATTTGTCACTATTGCTACATCTGATGTTATGGGAACACCTGTTACTATATGTGGGAGGTAAATATTTGTCACTATTGCTACATCTGATGTTATGGGAACACCTGTTACTATATGTGGGAGGTAAACATTTGTCACTATTGCTACATCTGATGTTATGGGAACACCTGTTACTATATGTGGGAGGTAAACATTTGTCACTATTGCTACATCTGATGTTATGGGAACACCTGTTACCATATGTGGGGGGTAAACATTTGTCACTATTGCTACATCTGATGTTATGGGAACACCTGTTACTATATGTGGGAGGTAAACATTTGTCACTATTGCTACATCTGATGTTATGGGAACACCTGTTACTATATATTGGAGAAATGATGCTAGGTACCCATTTGTCGTTATTGCTACATCTGATGTTATGGGAACACCTGTTACTATATGTGGGAGAAATGATGCTAGGTAAACATTTGTCACTATTGCTACATCTGATGTTATGGGAACACCTGTTACTATATATGGGAGAAATGATGCTAGGTACCCATTTGTCACTATTGCTACATCTAATGTTATGGGAACACCTGTTACCATATACGGGAGAAATGATGCTAGGTAAACATTTGTCACTATTGCTACATCTATGTTATGGGAACACCTGTTACTATATGTGGGAGGTAAACATTTGTCACTATTGCTACATCTGATGTTATGGGAACACCTGTTACTATATGTGGGAGGTAAACATTTGTCACTATTGCTACATCTGATGTTATGGGAACACATGTTACTATATGTCGGAGGTAAACATTTGTCACTATTGCTACATCTGATGTTATGGGAACACATGTTACTATATGTGGGAGGTAAACATTTGTCACTATTGCTACATCTGATGTTATGGGAACACCTGTTACTATATGTGGGAGGTAAACATTTGTCACTATTGCTACATCTGATGTTATGGGAACACCTGTTACTATATGTGGGAGGTAAACATTTGTCACTATTGCTACATCTGATGTTATGGGAACACCTGTTACTATATGTGGGAGGTAAACATTTGTCAGTATTGCTACATCTGATGTTATGGGAACACATGTTACTATATGTGGGAGGTAAACATTTGTCACTATTGCTACATCTGATGTTATGGGAACACCTGTTACTATATGTGTGAGGTAAACATTTGTCACTATTGCTACATCTAATGTTATGGGAACACCTGTTACTATATATGGGAGAAATGATGCTAGGTACCCATTTGTCACTATTGCTACATCTGATGTTATGGAACACCTGTTACTATATATGGGAGAAATGATGCTAGGTACCCATTTGTCACTATTGCTACATCTGATGTTATGGGAACACCTGTTACTATATGTGGGAGGTAAACATTTGTCACTATTGCTACATCTGATGTTATGGGAACACCTGTTACTATATGTGGGAGGTAAACATTTGTCACTATTGCTACATCTGATGTTATGGGAACACCTGTTACTATATGTGGGAGGTAAACATTTGTCACTATTGCTACATCTGATGTTATGGGAACACCTGTTACTATATGTGGGAGGTAAACATTTGTCACTATTGCTACATCTGATGTTATGGGAACACCTGTTACTATATGTGGGAGGTAAACATTTGTCACTATTGCTACATCTGATGTTATGGGAACACCTGTTACTATATGTGGGAGGTAAACATTTGTCACTATTGCTACATCTGATGTTATGGGAACACCTGTTACTATATGTGGGAGGTAAACATTTGTCACTATTGCTACATCTGATGTTATGGGAACACCTGTATATGTGGGAGGTAAACATTTGTCACTATTGCTACATCTGATGTTATGGGAACACCTGTTACTATATGTGGGAGGTAAACATTTGTCACTATTGCTACATCTGATGTTATGGGAACACCTGTTACTATATGTGGGAGGTAAACATTTGTCACTATTGCTACATCTGATGTTATGGGAACACCTGTTACTATATGTGGGAGGTAAACATTTGTCATTTGTCTATTGCTACATCTGATGTTATGGGAACACCTGTGGGAGGTAAACATTTGTCACTATTGCTACATGGGAACACCTGTTACTATATATGGGAGAAATGAGGTAAACATTTGTCACTATTGCTACATCTGATGTTATGGGAACACCTGTTACTATATGTGGGAGGTAAACATTTGTCACTATTGCTACATCTGATGTTATGGGAACACCTGTTACTATATGTGGGAGGTAAACATTTGTCACTATTGCTACATCTGATGTTATGGGAACACATGTTACTATAGGTAAACATTTGTCACTATTGCTACATCTGATGTTATGGGAACACATGTTACTATATGTGGGAGGTAAACATTTGTCACTATTGCTACAGGTAAACATTTGTCACTATTGCTACATCTGATGTTATGGGAACACCTGTTACTATATGTGGGAGGTAAACATTTGTCACTATTGCTACATCTGATGTTATGGGAACACCTGTTACTATATGTGGGAGGTAAACATTTGTCACTATTGCTACATCTGATGTTATGGGAACACTGTTACTATATGTGGGAGGTAAACATTTGTCACTATTGCTACATCTGATGTTATGGGAACACATGTTACTATATGTGGGAGGTAAACATTTGTCACTATTGCTACATCTGATGTTATGGGAACACCTGTTACTATATGTGGGAGGTAAACATTTGTCACTATTGCTACATCTGATGTTATGGGAACACCTGTTACTATATGTGGGAGGTAAACATTTGTCACTATTGCTACATCTGATGTTATGGGAACACCTGTTACTATATGTGGGAGGTAAACATTTGTCACTATTGCTACATCTGATGTTATGGGAACACCTGTTACTATATGTGGGAGGTAAACATTTGTCACTATTGCTACATCTGATGTTATGGGAACACCTGTTACTATATATGGGAGAAATAAGGTACATTTGTCACTATTGCTACATCTGATGTTATGGGAACACCTGTTACTATATATTGGGAGAAATGATGCTAGGTAAACATTTGTCACTATTGCTACATCTGATGTTATGGGAACACCTGTTACTATATATGGGAGAAATGATGCTAGGTACCCATTTGTCACTATTGCTACATCTAATGTTATGGGAACACCTGTTACCATATACGGGAGAAATGATGCTAGGTAAACATTTGTCACTATTGCTACATCTATGTTATGGGAACACCTGTTACTATATGTGGGAGGTAAACATTTGTCACTATTGCTACATCTGATGTTATGGGAACACCTGTTACTATATGTGGGAGGTAAACATTTGTCACTATTGCTACATCTGATGTTATGGGAACACATGTTACTATATGTCGGAGGTAAACATTTGTCACTATTGCTACATCTGATGTTATGGGAACATGTTACTATATGTGGGAGGTAAACATTTGTCACTATTGCTACATCTGATGTTATGGGAACACACTGTTACTATATGTGGGAGGTAAACATTTGTCACTATTGCTACATCTGATGTTATGGGAACACCTGTTACTATATGTGGGAGGTAAACATTTGTCACTATTGCTACATCTGATGTTATGGGAACACCTGTTACTATATGTGGGAGGTAAACATTTGTCACTATTGCTACATCTGATGTTATGGGAACACCTGTTACTATATGTGGGAGGTAAACATTTGTCACTATTGCTACATCTGATGTTATGGGAACACCTGTTACTATATGTGGTCACTATTGCTACATCTATGAGGTAAACATTTGTCACTATTGCTACATCTGATGTTATGGGAACACCTGTTACTATATGTGGGAGGTAAACATTTGTCACTATTGCTACATCTGATGTTATGGGAACACCTGTTACTATATGTGGGAGGTAAACATTTGTCACTATTGCTACATCTGATGTTATGGGAACACATGTTACTATATGTGGGAGGTAAACATTTGTCACTATTGCTACATCTGATGTTATGGGAACACCTGTTACTATATGTGGGAGGTAAACATTTGTCACTATTGCTACATCTGATGTTATGGGAACACATGTTACTATATGTGGGAGGTACATTTGTCACTATTGCTACATCTGATGTTATGGGAACACCTGTTACTATATGTGGGAAAGGTACCCATTTGTCATTATTGCTACATCTGATGTTATGGGAACTCCTGTTACTATATGTGGGAGAAATGATGCTAGGTAAACATTTGTCACTATTGCTACATCTGATGTTATGGGAACACCTGTTACTATATATGGGAGAAATGATGCTAGGTAAACATTTGTCACTATTGCTACATCTGATGTTATGGGAACACCTGTTACTATATACGGGAGAAATGATGCTAGGTAAACATTTGTCACTATTGCTACATCTATGTTATGGGAACACCTGTTACTATATACGGGAGAAATGATGCTAGGTAAACATTTGTCACTATTGCTACATCTGATGTTATGGGAACACCTGTTACTATATACGGGAGAAATGAAGCTAGGTAAACATTTGTCACTATTGCTACATCTATGTTATGAGAACACCTGTTACTATATACGGGAGAAATGATGCTGACTAAATATTTGTCAGATTTTCTTCACGATAACTATCACACTGGTAATTGCAGAAACATCATTAATTCAAACCTGAATTGTAAAGACAGTTCATTACCTGGTATTACTAATAAAATTAGGGGGGAATATTTAAGATATGATAGTAGGTTACTTACTTTGTGCAGGGGGCGGAGGTAAACTACACGATTTTTGACAGCTGACATGGAAGTTATCTGTTCTATTAAGAATCCTTCATCAAGTTTCCTACATTGGGCAAAAGACATTTTCTGAAGGTTTGGGGCAGATTCCGTTTTCACTTTTTTCAACACTCGACATGCACAACCTGTAACAACAAAGTAAATGAAAATTCTTACCACAAAAAAGCACTTAGAGATCAAAATGTCATTCAAAAATAGAAGAGTTAACACAAACTCACACTCTCAGAATACCATGGAAAAGTTCACATAAAAAGACTTCCTCAGAATATACCAGAAAGAATCCCACGCGCACGCACACGCACATGCACGCACACACACACACCCTCACACACACACACACACACACACACCTTCACACACACACACACACACACACACACACTGCCTACGGATACTCCAGAAAAGATCACACAAACAGAGCTAAACCTCCACAAGGGATAAAAATCTCCTACAGATTTCTTAACATTGAAACAGATTAAATAAAGGATCATCTGATCCTGAGATTAATGTTAATCAGTCGACTAAACATTTAATATGTATGTAAGCAGGTGATGAACTATTTCGAAAATGTTTTGTTTTTGTACCAGTGACGCGGCCGAGCTTTGGGCAGTCGTTGAGGACTAGGTCTGTGATTCCAACCATGTTTAATGAGACACACATCAGACTCTTGGACTTTATTTCCAATACCTAAAAATTAAGCAAAAAAAAAAAAACAATTATGATCATCTCAATATTTGTAGTTACAGAGAGGAAAAATTTGTAAACAGTAGAATTTGTATTTCTGAATGTGAGAGAAATAATTCAAAGTGAAATCTCACCAACAGTAAAAGGCACAACTAGAGCATTATAGCCTGGTACACATGCAACTTTTCCCAGAGATCAGTGGAATCCTTTTCATGCTGTTGCCTTACACACAGTATATTACGTATTTCTACATGCAGGGTTGTTTCCGAGGTAACATAAAATATTAACACGAATTAGATGTAATTACAACACATTTATTTGTTCCCAGTTTCACTTCAATAGACTGGTCATTTTTAATCAAAAAGAAAAACACACTAAAAGTTATGTCCCCTTCCACATACCAAATTACCATATTTATTTCATTTACCAGAAGTATATGTAAATGCCATTGATATATTGTGATGTTTAGATACTGATAAAGTGTAAAACAGATAATAAAATCTGGAGGATGTTTTGTAAATAAAAGATTTGTTGTAGTGTCCACTAAGTGATATAGTCTGATACTAAATTTGAATAAGTCGAAATCTCACAAACAGCGAAAAGGCAGATATGGAAATAGTGTGATATGTGTACAGAGATTTGTTGGCTAGTTTGTAAGTTATAGCCTTTCTATACCACTGTAGCTCTGACAATACTTTACAGTTTTGTTATATCATATCGTCTTACACCACTATTTTTTTTAAATTTTAATTTGAATAATTACATAGGAATTACTCTTTGTGTGAACATGTAAACAGGAACTTGAGGTATTTCTGACTAATGTTCCATGGATAACAAAGAGAATATCAATGACAAAATCATACAATAGTACAAGACAAAGGCACTGGCCTGACATGTATGCAAAGTTTGAAAAGATCATGTTGATTGGTTTTCAAGTTGTAACCCCTCAGACAGAAAGACTGAAGCAGCCTAATTTTGTCTCCCTGTAAATGTCTTTTGCAGGACCAATCATTGGATTTGGTGCACAATTTACCTGTATGTGATCATCTTCAATCACAGGGTCACTGGTACTAGTGGACTTGTCAATCATCCTCTTACCATCCACATAACTGTCCACTTGACGGCTGGGGCTGCTGATTGTGGAAACTCCTGCTCAATACAGAATAAAACGATTCTTTTAAGTAAATACTGTCCTCTCCACATAAGTTATACATTCTGATATTTTTTGAAAAAGGTTTTTGAAAGCTATGAAATGTTAAGGGATTATCCAAGAAACATGATATTTCCCATTTATATCAAAAGGGGAAAAAAATTCAACACTTCAATGTCATAACAAGGCATTTTGCAAGCCACAAAAGTCCCTTCACTTAAACCCAGACTTAAGATAAATGAATAGTCTGGCAAAGTCTGATCAAAATCCCTTATGGAATGAAGCCACAGAAGTGCTGACTAAGATTTTTTGAGAATGATACTAGTGACCTTGCCCTTGACCCTACAACCCTGAAACATGATCTTGCATGTGATATCATAAATCCCGTACTTGAATGTGAAGCTTGATAGAATTCCTTCCAGGAATGAAGTCACTAGACTTCTGAAAAAACTTTTCTTAAAAAAACTTTGACCTTCAACCTACATACAAATGGGAATATTCCTATATATCCTCCTCCTGACATTCTTCATGAGGAGATAATAATGATATACAATGAGTTCTATCCTTTGAGTCAATCAGCGTCATTGGTCTAGGATGATGTTAACATGCCAGTCAAATCATGATGTTCAGAGTTACTTTATACTAGAGATAAATTATTACATACAATTACAGTAAATGAGAGACTGAAAAAAACAGATAAACACCTCTTTTGAAAGTAAATTAAAGTGGATAAAGTTGGAATACCCATGGAATAGACATATACTGTAATTGACCTCAGCTGACCCCTCCCCTCCCCCTACCCAAGCATAGAGATATACTGTAATTGAGTTGACCTCTCTCCTTCCCTCCTACCTCTGACCCCTCCCCCCACCTCCGCCATGAAACAAACCTCAAATTACCTGAATTGTAGGTTGTTGGACCCCCCATGGAGAGGCAGCTGATGACCTGATTTGACGGATCACTCTGCGAAGCTGTAGTATGAGTCTGACATGCCTTATCATTGTCCTGACTCTGCTGTATGGAGTTGTCTACCTTGGTAACAGCCAGCTTAGGATCTACCACAGAAGATGGGCCAGGATCATCAACAGTACATGACCAAAAAGCACCAAAAGCACTTGTTGGTATAGAAGGACTGACCTCCGCATCTCTTATTCTCATGTTACCATACATCTGACAGCAGGGGGAGAGTAGGACAACCATACCAGAGCAAGTATGCAGTACACCTCTCACTGGGTAGTCACAACTTATCATGTCTTGGCCTGCTGTCTGCTCTTGTCCCAAGCTCTTCTTTCCTCTTATTTCTTCCTTCTGTTCCTGGTCTTGTATTGAGCTGTTACTTGTGTTCATATCCTCACTTTGGGCCTGATCTGGTGTGCTGGTGACGCCCTCGCCTAGCACCATTTTCTTTGATTGGTCCTTACATTTATTATCTTTTTTTGAATTTTCAGATTTTACATCGTCAAACTGGGCACTTACATTATCGTTTGCAGCTTCACATGGTATACTGATAACATCCTTACCGTGAGCCTTTGATATGTCAGTTATATCACTACTGTAATCCTGTGATGTACTGGAAACATTATTTCTGTTTGAAATATCTTTAATATTGCTATCTTCTGTTCTGTCAGTGTGATGTTCCATATGGAAACTGTTAATTGTATTTTCGTCCTCAAACATTAATCCTTCCTCATCACCTTCAATTTCTTTTCCTTCATCTTGCAGATTCCTTTCCACTTTGTCATCAACCAAGGCTTCACTCAATGTCTTCAAATGATCTTCATTGCTTTCTTGATGGCCAATATCTTCTTGGTTTATCACACCAGATGAATGTGCCTCTGCCGCAGCTTCTGTCCTTCTGTCACCATTTGCTTGTTTATGTTCCGCACTAATCCTCCGTAAATCTCCTTCTGTGATAAAATGAAGAATTGATGGTGAGCCACAGCTATGTAACACATCATTAAGTGTCTCACACGGCCCATCTGGTAGGTCAGTCTGTAATATAGATATCATCTTTTTACCGCTTTCAACTGACACATCAATCTCCCCTGACCCCACATATGTACTGCAACCATTTACAGTGACTACAATGTCACGTCCCAGCTGCCTTGTCCCTGTAGCTTTAGGCCTGTGCATGGTCATTCCTAACATGATGACGACATTAGACAGGATACCAGACATCTGTCCCTGCGTGGGATCAATATTTATTTCCCCTGAATGGGACCGCACCGTTATTTCCCCTGACAATGTTATATTGTTCTCTTGAATAACTTTTTCTTCTCTGTTGACTTTTTCACTTGTGACTTTGTAACCTCTGGGCTCTTCTCTTCTCACAATCAGAACTGTCTCTTCATCAAGTTCACCTTCGTTAGAAGAAGCTTCCTCTTCTTCCTCCTCTAACCCATCAAAATCCACATTCTTTCTGTCATCAAGTTTTTCTTCATGAATATCAATGTTTCTTTTACTATCATCACTTACTAAATTGTCTTGACTAGAATGCGGTTCTTCACCATTTGTAGTTATTTCTTTGTTTTCTTTCAAGTCTGAAATCAAAATACTGTTTGTGGTTTCTTTGTAAGGCCCTGTTGTTATATTACAATTTTTGTTAACACTGTCCATCACTAGGTCAATATGTCGCCCTTGACCATCATTTCTACACTGAGATTTTCTTTGATCTATCTTAACGGTCTGAACTTGTCCTTCTCCTTTGGAATCAATGTAATTATGATGGAGACTTTCAGACTGACCTTCACTTTTACAATCCATATGATTTTGTACTTGAGTTTTACTATAAGTCTGACAATGGCTAACTGAAGGACAGATCACACTATCTGTGTGTTGTCCAGTACTATCAAGGCAAGTCCTCTCTAAAATTGTTTCTGTTGTGTTTATGTTGTTTCGCTCACTAATATCACATTCTTTTTCAGAAAGACAATTTTGTAAATTTTCGTGTTTATCTGTCAGAGCAGGGACATCTGAATTTGGTTTGTCATAATCAGCATTAGCTGTGCTTTTACTGTTGTCCTCTGTATTAATACACGAGTCGTGACTATCTGAACTCTGGTCATCATCAGACCAAGTGTCGTCAGCCATATCCTCACCATGCAGAAGAAATGCATCATCCTCATCAACCACCTCCAACTTGTTTTCCTCTAACTCTATCTCATGTTCTGCCTTCATTCTACTCATGGCCTCGTCGATATGGTTCTCAGTGTAAGAATTATCACAGGTTAGCTGTGTGCTCCTAGAATCTCCAGAAACATTAAATATCGTTTGTTCTTGCGAACATGATTCATCGTCTTTACAAACAAATATCTGGTCATAAGAGATTCCACTAGCGTCTGATTTCTGATTGGATGATGATAAATCCTGCGGTAATGAGCAGGATGAAAATGGTGATCTCACGTCATCAGTATCAGTACTTCCTCCTGACAACAGTTGCGATGAAGATGATTGCTCATGTGATGTTATTTCCTTAACAGGCTTGTCTGTCTTACCCAAGGGAGGTAACACTTCCGCTGCCTCTGAAGGTTCTATAGTATTTGTTTGGATGGACACAGTTCCTTCTGATCTTTCTGTTTGATGTGCACTTTTACAGCCTTCTGACTTGCTTGTTGTCTGACTATGATCATTACACGGCTTTTCAGACTGTTGACTGGTCAAAGTACATGTATCATCTTTAGAAGTTTGATTAGATAACCCACTGTGCTGTTCCTCAGATGGTTCAATTGGGCTGTTTTGATTGGCTGGTACATGTTCAAAGTCTCCTTGGTCATCCAATGTTTCATCTAATTCCTGATGAACCAGCTCATTATTGTTATTGTCATTGTCCGAATCATCACTTTCATCAACAGCATTGGAGATGTTTGGTCCTGGCTGGTTACCAACAAAGGCAGAGGACATCCCTAAACCAGTGCCAGCACTCAGTCCAACTCTATGAAATATCAAAACACACCTTATATAGTCTCAGTCCTACACTTAATTCTTGTGTAATTATCCTCAATTGAAAATTGTACTAACATCAGTAGTATTTGTGAAGCTATTGGGTTTTATTAAAAATTTCATCTTTACAATCTCTTCATTGATTCAATAATTATAATTTATTATATAATTGCTGTGCCGTTCAATGAATATACCTTTATCATATTTTTACATAAACATTATGAAGTCATAAACTCATTTTATGGGACATAATGTGACATCATGAAAAGAAAAAAGAAAAAGAGGTCATATTCCCTCTTAGAAAAGCATGTTTTCTACAAAAACTGACCAAAAATAATTGTATAGCATCATCAGATTACAATTTTGCTTTGATGTGTTTCATCATCATGTGATTTTTTACTTTTCTAACTCACAAGAGGCTTGCTGAACCTCAAACTTCTGAGGACATTTTTCATAACTCTTGAATTTACAACCTCATGTAAGATCCTATGTGTACAGTGATGCATTGTAGTACAATCTGAAATACTGTAAGTAAATACACTATACAGTAAAACTATTTTCGTCCACCGAAAGGCCGTAACAGTGGACGTAAAGCCCATTAAGATAAATAAATAAGTAAAACTCATTTGTAGGACAAGGTCAGACCATTTTTTGTTTTTAAGTGTTTTTAACAGCCTACCTGGAACAACCCTTGGGTGGTTCACGGAACATATGTTCAAGATGAAGTAGCTCCAAGTTGGGAAGTTGCTCTATAAACTGACAGAAGTCGTTCAGTCGTATGGCATGGCATCGTCGTAAATAGAGTTCCCTCAGATGTAGCCATGTCTGTGCCCCTGTGAAATTCACAAAATTATGATGAAAACCACACCTTTAACCAAAACCTAATCCACCCTTAACCAAAACCTAATCCACCCTTAACAAAAACCTAATCCACCCTTAACCAAAACCTAATCCACCCTTAACCAAAACCTAATCCACCCTTAACCAAAACCTAATCCACCCTTAACAAAAACCTAATCCACCCTTAACCAAAACCTATTCCACCCTTAACCAAAACCTATTCCACCCTTAACCAAAAGTAAAAAAAAAACTTCAAGTAAAACATAACTCATCCTTAACCAACACCTAATCCACCAGTCTGTAAATCTTTTAGCAAATCCTAATCCACCCTTAACCAAAATCTAATCCACCCTTAACAAAAACCTAATCCACCCTTAACCAAAACCTAATCTACCCTTAACAAAAACTAATCCACCAGTAACCAAAACCTAATCCACCCTTAACCAAAACCTAATCCACCCTTAACAAAAACATAATCCACCCTTAACCAAAACCTAATCCACCCTTAACAAAAACCTAATCCACCCTTAACCAAAACCTAATCCACCCTTAATCAAAAGTTAATAAATCTTTAAATAAAACATACCCCATCAGACCCATAACAGACTTACCAGCTATAAGCCAAGCTGTAGGCTTGTGTATGTGAGGACAATTGTAGATCTGTACATGTTTGAGTTCAGGAAAACACTGCCCAACAGCTTTCATCCCAACATCTGTCACCATGGCAGGGTGTTCCACTACATCAGACAAATCTTCAGCAGCCAAGTCCTCATTTGTCCATTGGCCTTAAAATTCAATTACATGTCAAATCATAGATACGTAGAGAAAGCTACATATACGATCAAATAACATTAACTTTGTTTCAGAAGTTACTGGTAAGGCAGCAATTTAAGGAGATATTACCCTATTTTCAGATATTAATAACTATTATTGTGTATCGGTACTCTTTAATGAGTGCATGTGCATGGCATTGATAAAACTTGTCTTATGGTAGTTAGGGGAAATTTATGTCAACCATGTTAATAAAAGTTGGATATACTTCACAAATGAAATCTTTACATCAGTTTTATTGTTACCTGGCTCTGGAAAAGCATCAACAAAACCCAGATGTAGAGTTTGGAGGAACTTAAAAGATACATCTGCCAGACGAAGTGATATAAACAGACTGTCCTTGGTTAGTGACGGCTGCAGGCACAGTTCCTCCATACTGAAAAAGCACAAGACGTACTGTTACAGATTCTTACCATAACACTATACTGTGTTTACAATAATAGAGAAAATGATATAAAGAGTGTATAGGATTCAAACCCAGCAGTAAGACAGGTGTTTGTTTTAATTCACTATCTTGTATTTCTTACTTTGGAGCAGCTGTGATGACTAAGTAACCAACATCCATCTCCAAGATGAATTTACATGCCCCAAACTTGAGGTGATTGATTTTCTTAAAGCCTTCAATCCTCCAGCTGTCTTCTACAACATGTTGGATGAGTCCTCCTACCAAAGGAAACAAAGATGGTTAACAAGGAATTTTTAATCCATCATTGCTAAAATATTAATGTTTGTGATAAATAAGCATTATTTTTATTAAAAATAATTGCATTTCTTCAATACTTTATATTAATATCAGGACTTGTTCATCCAGTAATGTTACATCTAACATATTATATGACAGAAATGGTACTGTTTTAATTTTTATGTAAATTAACCATGGTTATTGCTAAAAGCTGACTTTAAAACATCATTTTGGTAAGTTATGAAGCAAATAATGATTTTACTCTCAAAAATTTGATAGAAGACAAGAAAATTTTAGACAAACCTAAGATTGGAACTCGTATAAGTTCCAGTCTTTTCAGACTCTGTGATGTGGCAAGAGAAGCAATCATCCGTACATATTTGAGAGGATTAGAGTTGGCTGGACCTCCACAGTGAGCCATGACAAAGGTCTGCAACTGAGGAGCAGCAAAGTCCATAAAAGGATGAGGGCCTGACAAGTGTACCCATCGCAACTGCAGATGCTTCAAGAACATAAGTGGAGGCAACTCCGGAATACACACACCAATCAAGTGAAGGGATGTTATTCTTGGGTTTTCGGATAACTTCAGTTTATTTACATCATCAAATGGAAAGTTTCCTATCCTATTCTTGAAAGTTCCAAGAATTTCAACCTCTGGTAGATAGGCCAAAATGGCCTCTAGAAGGAATATGTCAGAAATTTCAACTCCTTTGAGATTTTTACATAAAGCCAATGCTTCTGTGATTCCTGGAACACTGAGAGTATCCAATCCTCTAGTACGACGTTTAGCTACATATGGCACATGCAGTCCCTGAATATATTCTAAATCTCGACAGCGGCTTAACAGATTGCTAAGAATTTTATCCGTTACTTTGTCAGACATCCAGCCAAAAACCTCCTCCTCTGTAAAATCAACTTTTTTCCTAACTCGTAAGTGAAGTGACACAGCTTCATTAAGTTTTTTAGATTTGTGGTCCATTTTCATCACATCCTTTAACGGCAGAAAATCTAAAATAAGACAGAGAATTTCTAGCGAGAGAACAGAGAGCCAGTCTTTATCTAGTCTGCTATTTACAGCCTCTGTGTCTACTGAAGCTCCAACTGCAGCAGGTTTATAACCTGCTTTTAGCTTTTTTCTTCTATTCATTATTGCACTGTTTCTTTGAAAACCTGCAACAATAATAAAACATTTTTCAATTAGTTACAAAAATCAGAGTTTCATCTGAAAATAAAATAAAAAAAGATCTAGTTTAATTAGTCTATTCATCTAGTAATAAGTGGTATAGACTAACACACCAATACCGACTAAAATTAGGGGATGGAATGATGAAACTTCTGTTAACATTTCTACTGAACCTTAAAAGGTAGAAATAGACATATTATAAGATACTGACTAATTGCCATATAATACATTATAACCCTAACCCACCTCCATCCTAAAATACAGGAATGACTGTCCTTAGTTGCTTGAATACATTTGTTCACTCTAAAATGAATACCATATACTCTTCAACCAGAAGCAATATAATTGACAGACATGTACACCCCCTTTATAATGTAGCTACAGATTGCCAGAACTTCACTGGGTCTTCAGACTCTTGCATGCTAAACAACCTAGAACTTCACTGGGTCTTCAGACTCTTGCATGCTAAACAACCTAGAACTTCATTGGGTCTTCAGACTCTTGCATGCTAAACAACCTAGAACTTCACTGGGTCTTCAGACTCTTGCATGCTAAACAACCTAACTCTGGTATACAGAGAAAACATATTACGTACAGACTACAAGGTAGAAGTAAGAGGCCTTCAAGGTGATAGCTACACTAAATCCTCGAAAACTACAGTGCTATACTGTCTTCTGTTACCCGTTCAGATTAATGCCTATATTACATTGTAGGTTATCAATTTTGAAAAAAAAACCTCTTGTCTGCTACAACTGACCGTAATAGCTAAACCAAAAATCTTATCAATTGGTCTGTGTATGTAGAAACAGGCTAGGCGACTGTCATACATATATGTAACGACACCTCTGTTGTGGTTATGGTTGGGCTGAACAGCTGACTTGTCCAGATAAAAAAGTTGTTGCATGTGTTCTAACCTGCTAAATGGCCAGCACCTGCGCTTCAAGGCTTAACTGCTGGTAGGCGTTTTGTTTTTTGTGAGATAGTGTACATTTTCCGAAAATGTACAAGTGGCTACCGAGTATAACATTGTTATTGTCACAGTCATCTTGGAAATGCACATGCACATTTCGGGCAAAACCACAACAGGAAATGATTTGTATGCTACTAATACAAAATCTGAATGCGGACCAAAATCCGGAAAACTGAGAATGAAAAGGGCAATGCTGCTTATAGGCATCTCAAACCACGTAAAAGACATTTGTAAACTAGAAATATGACAATATTAATATCATTTAACATGACAGCTGGTTAACACATCAGTTTCATTTAAATAATCGTGTTAATAATATTATATTACGTAACTATAAATTTCACCTAAATCATGTCCATTGCATATGATTTAATTTGTCAAAAAAGCCCGTTTCTATTTTTTCCTGAAATAATCAATTACGATCTATTTTTGTTATAGGTTTAATATGTATTTAATAATAAAAAAATAATAATAAAAATAACAACAATAATAATAATAATGATAAGTAAATAATGGACGCAGGCAAAACAAATGCCTCTATATCCATATCTAAAATTATATGATGATCAGGAGATGTTTCCTATAAAAAGTCAAAGATTCTCAGTTATTACATATGTATAGCCAATCAAATGCTAAATAGCAAAAACATTTCAATATTTTCAAGTTGAAATGACATTTAACGTTTCCTCTTTACATATTGTTTCTGGGAAAGCGCACAATTTTTCTACTCCGAGGCGGTCCACGGACACGGTATACATAATCCTCCGTTTCGTTGTTTTCTTTCTGCTTCCTCGTATAATGCATTCTCTGCTTCTCTTTCACAATGTCGTTTCTTATTCGTATTTAGGAAAGTTGACTATGATTTCTTATTTTTCTGATATTTTTAAAGATTCCTTTCTTTGGTTGGCCGGCTGTTATTGGTTATGTCACTGGATTCTGTCTCTTTCCCAATCGTATAATTTTTCTAGGCCTATCTTTGTTTGACACTCCACAGACTTCTAATGCATTTCCTACAACTTTAGCATCTTCTTCCATACTTTCTTTCCGTCATGATGGGACTGTTCCGGAACTCCAAATAGAATTATGTTGTTTTCCCTCTCTGCTCGCTCTTTAATTTCAGCAACTATTTCGTCTTTGCTTGGTGCAGATTTCTCAGATTTCAAGTTCATTTCCAGTTTATCAATTAACCCTTTTGCATCTCTTTCAAGTTCCGCAATTCTATCTTCAAATTATTACGTGATTTGCCTACACCTCTCTTCTATTTTTTCTGTCCGTGAGAATATTCTTTTCGACTGTCATTCTGCATGGTGGACAAAACCACATTGTATCTGATTTTGATGGGATGTCATATTTCTTTGAATAAAAATCCAGACATCTGATGCAGAAAAGGTCCTGGCATCGATCACACTTCATGTACTTCTTTGCTTCCTTCGAGCATATCTTGCAGTTATACTGTTCCTCCATCAATGCGTCGTCGTTGGATCCCAGTTGAGAAGCCGATTTCTTGCTACTTCTTGCACTTCCGGTTTTGCCTTTAGTCATTTTATCTGTAATTTCGCGTATATTTTCGTATCCACGAATTCATACTAAATCTAGGATGGTCTCCTGATCACTTCCATACTATATGTATCGATAATTACCTCCTTATCGGCAAATTATCGACTAAAATTACCCCGTTGGCCACGGAGCATCCTCAAGTAGGACTGTATCCATCCATATTTATAAGATAATGTACACCTCAAGGTGTTTGAAGTAAAACTTATAAGAATAATGAAAAACGGGAAAATATATATTTCTTCGATATACACTATAATCAGTAAGGAAAAAAAACAAGCATGAAAACACCAACCTGTCAACATTATAATCCAAACTCTAATTCAATAAAACTAGGACAAAATATAAACAAAAGAAAGATTTACAGAGACTCATGAAAAAAAAAGGAATAACACCAGGGCCCGTGATAAACAATCTAAAATCATCATACATACTCCTTTTAAAGTACACTACGGTGTGGGCGGGCTCATTACAACAAACTCAACAATATATTATACATACACATATCATGTATAATTCCTAGTAACAAGGTAAATTGGATTCACGCCAATATATCCACACGTATTTTGAATATTTATGTTTACCCGAGCTAAAACGAAACTAGTTGCACGCCTGACTGCCTGATCACTTTACTAGTACCAGTAAATTTTAAAATTTAGAAATGTTTAGACTTGTTTAAAGGTAGAGTTATGACAAATGATGGGAAACTTCTAGTGCAGGTCTTTAGGACACGCTAGGGTACAGACAGATTGTGATAAAATTCTAGTGCAGGTCTTTAGGACACGCTAGGTTACAGACAGATTGTGGTAAACATCTAGTATGGGTCTTTAGGACACCCGAGGGTACAGACAAATTGTGGTAAACATCTAGTGCAGGTCTTTAGGACACGCTTGGGTACAGACAGATTGTGGTAAACATCTAGTGCAGGTCTTAAGGACACCCGAGGGTACAGACAGATTGTGGTAAACATCTAGTGCAGGTCTTTAGGACACCCGAGGGAACAGACAAATTGTGGTAAACATCTAGTGCAGGTCTTTAGGACACGCGAGGGAACAGACAAATTGTGGTAAACATCTAGTGCAGGTCTTTAGAGGAAACAGACAAATGATGGTAAACATCTAGTATAGGTTTTTAGGACACCCAAGGGTACAGACAGATTGTGGTAAACATCTAGTGCAGGTCTTTAGGACACCCGAGGGAACAGACAAATGATGGTAAACATCTAGTATAGGTCTTTAGGACATGCGAGGGTACAGACAGATAGTAAACTTATAGGACCAGACATTTTGACACCCAAGAGTACAGACAGATTATGGTTAACATCTAGTAAAAGTGTTTAGAACACCCAAGAGTACAGACAGATTATGGTAAACATCTAGTAAAGGTATTCAGGACACCCAAGAGTACAGACAAATTATGGTAAACATCTAGTAAAGGTCTTTAGGACACGCGAGGGTACAGACGGATAGTAAACATATAGAACCAGACTTTTGGACACCCGAGAGTACAGACAGATGGTGGTAAACATCTAGCAAAGGTCTTTAGGACACCCAAGAATAGAGACAGATGGTGGGAAACACATATTACCAGTCCTTAGGACATCCGAGGATACAGACAAATGTCGAGAATTATCAAGAGGCAGTCTTTAGGACTTTTGAGGGTGCAGAGTGATACAAATGACAAATTTGTAGGTAATTCATGGGAACAGACAAATATTAGGAAGTATCTCCTGTCAGTCCTTAGGACACCGATGTTAACAGACAAATAGTGGCAAGTATCTCCTGGCAGTCCTTAAATACCGATGTTAACAGACAAATAGTGGGAAATAATTCCTGTCAGTCCTAAGGATATCGCTGTTAACAGACAAATATATTGAGTTCTAAAAACATTGTAAAATGGACAAACTAGAATAAAATGCAATTCATCTTCAATATCTTTCAAGTTACATTTTTGATATATTCTTTCATTGCTTGATGTCCTTTCGTATCTACCTCTTTCTATAAGAACGTCTTGTAAAGATAACCGACATTCTGCTAAAATATATGACTATGGTAAAACATTTCCTAAGATAGTACTGAAGACAATTAACATATGATAGAAAACTATACAAAAAACATTTTGTACAAATGCATCAATCAAGCGTTGTTTGACGTCGATGATAAACTGAGGTTGACAAGAAACATCCTGGTTAAACCAAACATATCTAAACCCTAGAGACATTAATAATGTTTTTACATTACTGAGCCAATTTGTCTTTGAATCAGATACAGATTACTTGTCATTATACAAGGCTTTCAACATATAATTCACTGTCTCCAATAATTTTAGCCAATACTTAATAATTTTTATTTCACAAATTACTGAAAATGGTAACCTTCCAAGTTCAGAGTGAAGCATGTGGTTAAGAGTACATTAAGATCTATCATTGATCACGTGTGTTGATTGATCTTATTGGATACAAAATCAATAAATTATACGGTTATAAGTATACCATGCATAGAGTAACATTTTGAAGTTACGATGAAATATTTCAGTGCTCAATAATGAGAGAGGATGTGTATAACATTACATTACTCACCGAAATGTAGCAGAGATCGGATACATGTCAGAAACAGTTTGCATCATATTCTTTATTTGATATCACACCACTGTAATCCAGACTTACAGCAGAAAACAATATTATCATAACTGGGAAGTGTCTTGTGCATCAAATTGACACTTTGCGGTGATTTAGACAAGCTTCTTAAATAATTGATAAATATGCGTTGACAAGTGACCAGCCCTGGTATCACTGTCTATATAATGTATATATTCTCCTGCTGATCATACATATATGCACTTTCTCGTCTTATACATGTATATAATAGTAAGTATGCAGTGATTCGCTTGACCGGGTATTTAAGGCTTATATAAGAACCAGCAGCCTACTCGCTAATGGTTTCCTGGAATACACTGCGTATAAGATATTGTTTCTTGGAATTGTTGGTGCAAATCATGCAGTAGTGCGTCAAATTTACATATATCAGTTTGATCCATCAAATTGTTTACTTTCACTTGTACATATAGGCTTTATTGGAAATTTGGTAAATTACCTAATTTTTTACCCGCCATTGCCTGTACTACTCGGACTCAACTTATTGGTTAAGCGTATACCATATCTTCATAAACACAAAGTCATATTAATTCGAAACCAAGTTCCGGCTAAAGAACGGACACGTAACAAGGGTGTATTGTAAATCCCTGTTCAGTGAGTTGTGTGCAAGAAAGAAAAAAGTATGTTCCAAGTAGTTCTACGAAAATGATCACGTGACATATCAACATAGTCATAAATAGGTGAATCTGGCCGGGTGGCAGACATTGCAGGTCGTGTGGCGTTCGTGTGGAGTGTTGACGATCCCGTAAAAATCATGGCTGCATTCGCAGGGAGGACACAACTGGAGGTAGAGAACACAACTACAAAGGCTACAATACCCAACAACAACAA